CAGTTACTGTATGTGACAAACTGGGTAAAATTGTGTGCATTATGCCAAGTTTCCTAAAAATAAAGATTTTTTAAATTTTTTTTTTACTTTTTGTATTTAAAGGATATGCATGTCACAGGGACTTTAAAGTCCTATTGAAATAAATTAGGGTTTTGTTCAGGGGAGTTTAATTAAGTTCTATCAGAGACTGTATTTAGTTGTGTGCCAGAACCTACTAATATAACACTTTCATTTTTAAAATTTTTGCCTCCAGCTATTACACCCTGCCAACAATTTGAGAATGCAAAGAAAAAAAAAGTCAAAAAAATACTTATTATGGTGTCTTTGAGCCAGAAGGTTTAGATTCCACCACTTTAACCACACCGAGCAGGGGAACAGATCATTACATTAGTCAAGCTTTGCTAAAAGGGCAAACTTTATTCCGTTTAAAAAAGCTTGCCAGACCCCAGCAGAAGGAATCCATCTCCTAAACTCCGCATGTGGATTGGGCAAGCCCAGAGTCCGCCTTCTCCAGACCCCCTGGACTATATAAAGCTCCAGCAGAGCCTCTTAGGGGTTAGAGGAATGTGATTACCAAACAAACCCCTTGGTCCTGACCACTGCCAGTCTTGACGCATGCTTACATGCAGCTGCGTTCATGCTTGCACCCATGTTTTCCACCATGGTTGATTTCTCAGAGAAATACCTGGAAAGGTAAGACGCTTGCTGTGGACATGTGTGAATTCTTCATCCGTGTGTCCTGCAGAGGTTTTTGCTTTCAGGGTGGTGTGAGGCTATCTGGCCTCTACTTGGATCTCATTTGTCAGTCGCAGTGAGGGAGAGGAATCCCTTGTGAGGCTGCGGTGAAATAACTATTTTGGTGGAAGCAGCTTTTACTTTTAACTTGAGGCTGTCCTTTTTTTTTCTTTATTAGCTCCAGCCTGGATTTCAAGAATAGGACTGCTCATGTGGTCTTCTGTGACTAGAAAGGTGGTTTAGCTCAGAAATAGGGTTCTTTTTTTGTCTTGACTAACAGAGACTGTGAATGTAATGGTGTTATATTTATGAACTAAATATAGGACAATTCCCTTTTCCATTGTTCTTCTAGGAATATTGCCAGGAGACTCTTGCTTGATTATGAAGTTCTTTCAAGAATTGTTTTTCTTTTGTCTTAGATAAATTGCTGTTGAAGTGTTTATGTTTATTACTGGGGATATATTATTTCTCTGAGCTGTTTAGTCTGTGAAGAAACCATAGCTCGAAACCTTTCGTTTGCTACGATATTTTTAGATGGAGCCTAAATAGTTTATTGAGTAACAGATGATGTGACATTAAATTTGTCCCATTACACTCTCACAGACAAATACACAAACAGACCCACATGTCAGGACAGTGTAATTTGTAAGTTGTGTCCTTTATTCACTTTACAAGCACACAGGAGAGAGAATAACAAAAAAGCTTCGCCCCTCGGGTTGCTTTGCTGTGGACCACATCTTACCATGCCATTATAGATAAAGCCTTGTACAAAATGCATAGAAAAGTCAAATAAAGATGGGCTTGCCTTCTGCACGTAAGGTACATTGTGATCTGCATCGCGTCCATCTCCAGTTCTCCCTATGTGCCACCGGAGCCTTTCCCTGAGAGTGCGGCCTACTTTTCAGAACACCAGGAATAGCCAGAGGGTTGCTATTAGTGCGACTAATGTGAGCCGAGCAAAGAGGGAATAAAAAGGATAGGAAGCTACAGATAATTGCAGAGCAAAGGACCTCTTGGTCCTTCACTTGAGCTTTTCAAGTGTTTTTTTTTTCTTTGAAGCATGGACAAAAGCAGCAGAAGGACGTGCACAAGGTGCTACAAATGGCTTGTTGAGCAGTGGGGCAGAAATGTCCGACTTGTTTCTTTAGATCAAAGATCATCTTAATTTGATAATCTTTGACAGAGGACATGTTAGCCTCTTAGCGGATCAAGTATAGGCGGTTATTGGGTGTATTAAATCCAATAGAGGGTGATACATGGCCAGTGGTGTTAGGAATGGTGGGAGGGGAGGCTAGGGAGCTGAAAAGATGCAGTGAGGTGGGACAAAAAAGCTTCTTTAAATGGAGAGAAACTCAGACCAGGAGAAGAACTATTAGGAAGTGCAAAGCACACTTGATAAGCTAAAGTCAAGTGCTGAATAAAATCAAAAAAAAAGTCACACATTTGGCACAATAACTCTATAAAATTAGGGTTTTGCCTCCTCATTTATACTGTGTATTGAAACTTCAACTTGAACAAAACACAATCTTAAATTCAGTCCATAAAAACTCTGCAGTTGTGAGATTAAACTGAGCTGACACAATGGATTAGAGAAACTTAGGAAAGTTTTGACAGTTTCCTTATCCCCAGGGCTCTTTGAATATAAAGTTTTGGTGTTGAGCATGGACATGTGCTTGCCCTAACCAAAAAGTAGTAAAAGCAAGTGTCCTTGGTAAGTATGCTAATTTTAAACTAGAAATAAGAGAGTATACTTTCAATTTACGTTTTATGTTCTGAACAGGATATACTTAACACATTTTATGCTACGTATATGGTTGTGATATATTAAGAAATATAGTAAAAATGTTCTTAGTAAATAAAAGTGCACTTGGGGAAATATAGTTCACTATATTTATATATACTTAATGACATGTACTTGAGTTATACCTCTTTTTGGTAAGGTGTCCTCTGTGTAAGACTTCTAAAATAGGTATGAATTGTGTCTGTTTGGTGACACTGTGTAATTATTGGGAGAAAATGAGTAATTAATACCACAACCAGGAAATTTCTACGATCAGTTTATCCAGTGTGCCCCGATTAACATTTGTTTAATTCTGATCAAACATACATTCTGATCATTTATTGAAGATGCAAGCTCTTTGTGTTTGCAGTTTCTCGCAGCACCCACATGGTGGCAGGAGAGAAATATGGATTTTTTTTTTTTTATCTCTGTTACGACGTCATTGTCACATCTTTTTCACATGAGCTAAGCCTGTTTAAAACCAGACATACATAATAAAACATCCTCTGTCAGACCAGGAGCATATTTCCCATTCCTTCTGAAATATGATTTTCTTGTTTTTACTCACATGCTTCTTCAAGACAGAGGCTTCCTTGTAGTAAAGAGGTGCTTTCATTGCAGTTGCCTTAAGTTCATCCTAAAAATAGAATTATCTAATAGATTCTGTTCCAGTGTCATAAGTCTGTTTAACAGCATGGGAGTTTTCATATCTGTATTTGTGCCCTTAAGATTTTTTAAAATAAGCTATTTTCAGGGGTATGATATTAGAGAGATTGTTGTTTCCCCTCATCCAGGGCGCCTACCTATGTTCCATCTCAGCAGTCAAGCCTCTGGATTTGAGGTTGTTTCAAGCAGACCGCTTGTGTTATTTCAGTCAATGGATGAGTCATCCTACAGTGTGTGGAGGTTTAAATAGACCTTAAATAATTATTTTTTTCCCCTGCTACCTGGCCCAGGAGAGATGAAAGAAAAACAGCTTTCATCTGGTTCTCTTTCACATTCTATTTTATTAGGCATCTCCCATTTTTGCAACTTTATCAGGAGGGGATTGAGTTAAGTATTAAGTATTTAGACCAGCTCAACGGTCTTTACAAACCCAAACACACCCACCCAGTCAACATAGAAAGGCTCAGTCATTATAATATGAAAGGAGCTGTTCAGCTGCTCTTTTAAGCAGCTTCTTCACTTATGTCTCATCTTGTGTACTGGCAGGTTTTTACTCTTCCTGTTTGGCAGAAATCAGAAAACCTCATATTAGCAGCTAACTGGGTTCTCTGTCTAACGTGAACCTTATTTGTACACAGGCACGAATGACCTCTTCCTTGAATTCCCTTCATACAGTCATGCACACACTAGATTTTCAACACCTGTGACCGGCATGCAAGCAGCAGTTTAGGCAGACGTGAGTTGGCACAGTTGCTGAGGCGTTCTTGGAAGTAGTTTTACAGGAGCTCTCGCATCACTAATCTCATACATCCACGTACAGTATTTGTGCTAATGTCAGTCCCATTCTCCTGTGTGCATGCTTGAATGACAAGCGTCTATAACTGGAAGTGCTGTTTCTTAATTTGGAGTGTACATTGCTCTCCTGGGTGCTGGTAGGTTGGGACAGCTTGCAGTGATTAGGCTCAGCCAGCGCACATCGCCGTGCATGCATTATTAGCGGGCCAGTCAATCCACAGTGGAAATCAAAAGCAAGGAACTCAGGAAATGGGTGTTGAGTGAGGTCACATCCCAACGAGGAAGCACGTGCTTCAGGTCGGGAAAAGCCAGGACATGTACCATGGGATTTTGGGAATGTGCCAATTCCTCTTGAACCCCATGGGTGCTAAGGGCTGAGCCTTGATGGGGCGCATGTGTAGCAGGGTGTCTCTTTGTGTCAGGTGGTGGGAGACAGGTGAGGCGGGTGGTCAGGAGGATTCGGGATGATGATTTTGAAGCGAAAGCTGCAGAGGAGTAGGGGCGTCACTGTGCCCTGTTGCCCCCTGCACCGGGTCAACTTTGTCTCAGCAATTCCTACGGGCATAAGGAAAACAGTGTGATGAAAAAGAGAAGTGAGGACTGACTCTCTCCTGCTCTGCCACATCTGCTTAGTCCCTGTCGAGCAACCTGCCAGGGATGTTCTCCAGGAAAGACTGTACGAGGTATCAGATTGACAAGAGAGACGCTGACAAGAAGTGAGGACGAGGAGATTTACCTTTTGGAAAACTATTCTGGCGACATAACCCAGCTGAAGACAACAATGTACACAGTGTTTACCTTTACCTTTTGTGGCATTTATGAGTTTGACAAATTGGATTTACAGCAGCGAAGAGCTCAGCTGATGATTCCACGCTTTGGATTGTTTTCGTTGTGGATTGGGAATGTGAAAACGAAACGTGCATCCTTCCTGTGTTTTTTTTTAATCTCTCGTTTTTCTCTTCGTCCTCATTTCTTTTTATATTTAACCACCTCATCTTCCCCTGTTTGTCTTTCTTTCAATCAGGGCCAAAGACATGAAGAATCGACTGGCTTTCCTGCGGAGGAGGAATGAGTCCCCAGGAAGCAACTCAGCCGGCAAGTTGGACAAAACTATGAAGTCAGTCAAGTAAGTGGCCACTTCCTGACAGCATGGGCTCGTGGGCATGAGTGGGAGACTGTTTTGTACATCTCGCCACAGCTGGTGGTGACCCTGTGGTGGCAAACAGAGAGATGGGAGTGTCCATGTAAGGTGGCATTGGAGTGAATGAATGAGAAATGTGAGTAGGAAAGAGAAGTCAGAGAAATGAAAAGAGAAAAGTAAAAACAGCCTTTAAAACATTTGTGTCAAATGTTTTGAGCGAACTGAGCCAAGCCTTGATGAATGCAACAAATTATTTAAAACCTTTGATTTTTAGATGCACTTTTATTATATAATCTAATACTGTATGTAAATGAAGCAAAAATAATTAGGGTAAATATTTTATTTTATTATTATCTTTATTGCTTAAAAATCTGTGTATGCAGTTTGGGCATTATCTTCCTGATGTTTATAGCTTATAAAGGAATTTGAAAGTTTTGCATTTAGACAAGTTACACTTTATATGCCTAATTTGAAAACAATAACACAACTAAAAGTCTATTTTTATTAAGTTTTATATTTTAGTGTGAAATTTACAATTAAAATCCAAAAATTAGAGGACATTTTTCAAATAGTTTTGTCTTTTATTACAATTACACAAAAAATATTTACCTGCAGTTACTGAATTTGCATCTATGTGAATTCTAGAAAGGGTAAAAAGGCATTCACTTCACCGATGAGAGGCAGCAGGGGGCAGACAGACGCTGTTGGTGGAGGCAGGTCACTGAACCTCTGTGCAAATCCTGATTGGCCGCTTGAAACGCCTCCCTCTGCTGCCTACCATTGGGGAATATAAAAGCCAACCCCCACCACAGTGAAGCAGGCAGACAGCAGTGTTGATGTTGTTCATAAGACACAGCTGAATGAGTCAGCTTAGAAGAGAGAAAGGCAGAACAGGAATCATCTGCGACCACATTCATCACCAACATAGCATAGCTTTCAGTCCCGCGGATGGGTCACACAATGAGAAACCTGGCTGAAATGGGCTTGTTAAAGAACCGCTCTGCTTTCATCTGCAGGCCCACCCCAGAGGAAGCACTGAAATGGGGAGACTCACTTGACAAGCTGCTGGGACATAAATGTAAGTTTTTGATTTACTCTTTATTTATTTAATTTTTCCAAGATCATCTGTTTTTATTTTACATGTCAAGAGACAGGAGCACAGTGCATGCTTGCAGGTGTAGGGAAAAGGTTGTGAACATGAAAACATGCACACAGATAACATGACATACATTACATATGAGTGATGTGGTTGGGCAGACTGAAGCGTGATACCCAAATCTTAACAAAGTCCATATTTTAGAAGACAAGGCATTACAAAATGTGTTGCTCTTTTAAATGAATAATTAAAAACACATTTCCCCCAAATTTTTAAGTAACCTAAGCTCTAACCCAAAGCCAGCGCTACATCTGTTATTCATTCAGCTTTGTTGGCCCCTCTATTCTCCCTCTTCTCATTTCCTCTCCACATCTTACTCCACTCCTGCCAAAATGAGGTAAGAGATGTCAGCCCACGTTGGCTCCGCTTATCAGCATCGCTGATTCATGGGAACGGAAAGGTGCAGACAGGATTCGTGGGTGGATGCTGTTCCTGTAATTCTTTCCCTCGGATGCCCTTTTCCTCAAATTATTAACTGGACCGAAACTTAAAAGCTGAAACCGCTAAAGTTATTTTGGGTTCCTTAAACACAAAACAGACACCTCTTTGTTCGCCATTGGTGCTGCTGGAAGAGCAGTTAATAAGATGGAATTATAGCGTCACTGGGTGATGTCACTTTGACAGTGTTTTAGACTTTGACAAATTTGGCCATGTTAACGGTTTACTGTGCCTCACTTTATTACAATCACATGACTCAAACGCAGTCAGTCACACAGCTAATTTAGGCCCTGAAACTCCAGAGATGGCTTCAACTGTGAGGTTGCCATGGCACTTTGGTCAACTCTTCCCTTTGTTTATTCTCCTCCTCCTCTCTGCTTTTCCTCAGATGGTCTGGCAGCCTTCAGAGCTTTTCTGCGCACAGAGTTCAGCGAAGAGAACCTGGAATTTTGGCTAGCGTGCGAGGAATACAAGAAGATCAAGTCACAGTCGAAGATGGCTTCAAAAGCCAAGAAAATCTTTGCAGAATACATCGCTATACAGTCTTGTAAAGAGGTGAGTTAGAGATGAAGCTTCAAAACATCATCACACATGTGCTTCCCATTCCTCTACCCTTTTTTTTGGATGACTCTCATCTGTTTCATTGTGTTCCCTCTGCAGGTGAATCTGGATTCGTACACTAGAGATCACACAAAGGACAACCTGCAGAATGTGACACGCTCCTGCTTTGACCTAGCACAGAGGCGGATATACGGGTTGATGGAAAAGGACTCATACCCCCGCTTCCTGCGCTCTGAACTCTACTTGGACTTAATCAACCAAAAAAAACCCAGCGCCACGTCCACCTCATCCTCATCATAAGACATGAGGAGGAACACGAGGAGAAAAGAACGATGATGACAGAAACTAAGGGGCAGACTTGAAAAACAAAAAAACTAAGAGTGGGTGGAATGTGAGCTTTGTGGTTTGCCTTTTTTATTTTTTATTTTTTATTTTTGTGTGTATGTGTGCCATCCTGTTCAGTTTGATTTCTACGTTAGTGGCATGAGAGGACACAGCAAAGCTACGACGCTGCAAAGGACTAGTTTACCCAGTTACCAGGTGGATGGTTGGATGAATGCATGGATGTTTATAGAATTACAAAAGCCTGTGAACAAGGCTGGAGCAAGAGCTGGACGCTTGTCTGATCACTGTTGTTGTTTTTATTATTATTATTATTATTTTTGTGAGCTTTTTTTATGTTAAGGTCAACTGTTTTTGTCCAGTTGTACTGGAGAAAAGGAGGGGTTTCACCAAAAACACCCTGCAGACGTGAAGACAGTCCGGTACTGTTTTATCACTTTTCCCCTTTATCTCTTTGGAGACTCCCTCTCTAAACCTCCTCCTTTGCTCCATCTTGTCCTCCCCCGTGAAACGACTTCAAAGCTATTGGTACGACTTTAAGTCTTTTTTTTTCCTCCTTGTCTTTTCATCAAACTCCTAGCTTTGGTGTTGAAAAGGGGGGAAAAAAACAAAGTGTTTGAATGATGAAACCCAAAACATTGTGGCTCTGTTTTCTACATGCATCTGTTAAAACTTTCCATCCACTCGAAGCTTCTTTGAATGGTTTTCACCCTTTTTCAAATCAAGACTGGATCGTTTCAGCAGAGATGACAACGGAGACAGATGAGCAATGAATTTCTAGATGTTTGACTAACGGATGAGCCTGGAGCTGTGCTGCAACCCAAATATGCATACCTCTCCCATCCGAAGACGTTAAAGGTCAAGTGTGAAACCAGAGATGGAAAACAGAAAGACGACTTGCTTCCTGCCTCCAAAGACTGTTTACTAAAAGGAACGAGAAATCAGGAAGAAAACATCTCCTTTAACATTGTAGCGTATTCTAGACTAATCAGGAAGCATTCTCAGGACATAGCTCTAACAGGTTGCAGCTTGGTAAAAGTCTTGTTTTCGACACATTCACAGCTTTTCTCTTTTTTTCCCCCACTCTTTCCACACTCCCTTATTTCACTCACAAAGGTTTTTCTTTTTTAATAGAGGAAAAAAACTGTTACTTGTGCAGAGTTTGCCTATTTATTTAGATTAACTTGCTGGATGCTTCTAAAGACACCTTGACGTCCTCTAAAGCACTCACTCAGCCCTAGAGCTTCTACTTTCCTCCTAACCACCAAACAGGTCCGATGCTGTCCTGATTTAAGTGCAATATTTTTATTTTATTGTATTTTTTTATTTTATTATCATGTTTGGTTTGTTACTTTATTTGAAAAAAAAAACATTACATTTTTAACATGGACGACGAAAACAGCTTGAGCTCTGCATCATCTTTATTTGTTAAGAGAAAATTACTTAGAGCTATAAGGTTGACTTGCAATGTAAACTTTCAAGAAGCATAAGTAGTTTAATGAATTTTAAGCAAGTGAATCTTAACTGTGTTAACCTCTAGCAGCAGGCAGCTGGGGGGAAATAAATGGTTGTAAATATAATTCTTTAAGAAAACTATGTGATAACACATTTTAAAAAAGACACAAAAAAGAAGAAACCAATAGGTCTCTGCTGTTAATGATAGTGGGACCCTGATGTATTTATGTAAATATAAGAGACTCAAAAATATAAGATGGCGTCTATTGTTAAAAAAAAATTTAAAAAATGGGTGCGAGCGGGTGCATCTGCTCTTATTCCTGGTCATACACTGCTTGTAAGGAGTTTTCAGAAATGCATTTTATCATTTCCACTGTTTACAATTCAAAATGCATCTCCTATGATAGCAAGTGAAAACAGTAGAGTACATTTGGTGTCATTGCTAATGAGAAATAAACCAACCAAATGAGAAAGTATTGTGTCTGGTGTTTGAATTTATTTCTGCATGTGAATGTTGGTCCGAAATATGCTGTGAACACTGCAGAGTGACTTGAATCTTCCAAATAAAGGGGATGTTTGTTTAAGATAAGTGAACAAAATTCACCTTTGGTCAAATGCCAAAAATAATTTAAAATAGCTACAGGAAATACATTTTTTTTTGCACGGGGCCAGGAATCATGTTTATGTCTAAGGCATTTATTTCCACGTTAGCTTTATGATTTAAACCTGGGAGCCTGATAGTTCTGTTTTTCCAGGCGTCTCTACTTTCTCATCAGCCACTGTCAGTTTATTCTGTCAGTTTTCATTCAATCACCCGTTGAACATTTTTGGCTTTTCAAACCATTTCTGGTCCTCTTCTTACTTGTTCCATATGCCTCAACAACCTTTTTTTGTTTAATTTTGAAATAAAGTTTAGCTGAATTTTTCAAATCTTTCCAGAGTCCAGACATCTACAAACTGTGACAAAGTGCAGTTTTTTCAGCATGATCCATTGGGTCCGCTGCCCGGAGACCTGCTGGGTGTTGAGGCAATGTCATGGAAAGAAATGTCTGCTGGTGGTGACATATGAGGAAGTATGTTTGAACAAAGTACATCTCCATAACAAAGACCTGCTGAGGATGTTGCTATCTGGATGCAAACTATAAACATTGGTTGTAACTGGATCAGTTTCAGTGCCATTTGTATTTTAGACTGCGCTACTTGAAATCACTTAGATGAACAAGGAATAAAAAATAAAATCTTGAAATGTTCGACTTAGTTTGGAGCAAAATTCCTGAATTTCTAGTAATCATCTTTGAAAAAAAAACCCTGCATGATTCAGTTACTTTAGCTTTAAATTGAAAGCTTAAAACTTTAATTATACATATAGGCTCAAATATTTTAATTTATATCGGCGTTTTTATTTTATCAACCCTGTTTTTGTAATCTTTTAACTTAAAAGCCTTGAATTCACCAATTATTTTATTGAATTATCTGTCATTATTATCAATGTTTTAGATAGCAGAAAAGTCCATGTTGTATGCAATGTACTTGCTTCAATAAATAGTTTAAATTTGTGCTTAAATTTTGCTCCATAATAAATCTTTTCAGATAGTTTGGCTAAAACTGTCACAAGCTTATGTCCAGATGCACTTGGAAACGATAGCCTAAACTGTTAAATACCAGAACAAGTTGTTTAAAGGACGTTCTTTGAGGTTGTAAACAAACAAAATAAAAAAATAAAAATAATAATAAACAAAAGGCTGAATTGAGTACAGGGACACAGATGACCAGACATGTCCTGATCCTGACTCGGTGCTGTTTAAGAGCATGTGGAATGTGACACGGGGTCGAATGATGGCGGAGTTGTTGGAGTAGGATGAGAAAACAGTTGTGTGTGTGTGTGTGTGTGTGTGTGTGTGTGTGTGTGTGTGTGTGTGTGTGTGTGTGTGTGTGTGTGTGTGTGTGTGTGTGTGTGTGTTGGGGGTTGGTCAGTCTAAAGTGCTTCTGGACAGAGTAGTAACAGCACCTAATCTTCTTTACCAGCTGCCATCTGTTTTGACAGACACAGTATCTTTTATTTTTTTAAATTTTTTCCCATGTTTTTCCTCTCTGGTTCGCTCCACACTTCGCCATTTCTTTGTCTGGCCAGCCCACGCTTGGGTTTTGTTGTGCTCACATTTTATGCCTTACAATCGTCCCAGCCTTGAGCCAAGCCACTTTGCTAAACCTTTTTTTGTTCGAGCTTCCTTCCTTTGAGTCATTTCTGGAAACCATACCGTGGTGTCTGCCATTGTTTTCAAATTCGGCATTCACACGAACACGTTTCCTCCCCAAATCGCTCATATCCGGTGGTGGCTGTAAATGTTTCCTTCCCGTTTGACAGATATTACAGGACAGTAAAATATTATCTGTATTTATAGAGCATTTTTTTAATGGAATGATTTATCAGGTGCCAATAGCTTTCAATTAAACTAAAAAAAAGTATCTGAGGGTTGGGGCCTTCAGTGCAGATAAGTGACACAAAAACAAAAATCAAGATCTGTCAAAATATTCAAAAGTCACAACATGAGTGTAGTAAAAAAAGGCACCCACCCCCCCCCCCCCCCAAAAAAAAAAAAAAAAAAAGAAAACCATTTTTTCCCCATTTAGGAAAATATTAAAATATAAAAGCTGCAAAACTATCTGGAAAAAGTTATTGGAGACAAGAATTGTGGTTATTTTTTTATTTCAGATGTTTTCTGTGAAAACGTAACTGAAAACTTAACAGGCAACCAGGATGACTGCAGATTTAATTCTCTTTGTGCTAAGGAAAGGATCTTAAGTGTTTCCTCATTTGTTTGTTTTTTTKCTTTAGTTTTCATCACAGCACAGGAAATACCAAACAAAAAGAGAAAAACCGTGACCTTTTTTGGCCTTTTTTTTTTTTTGAAGGCAAGGCTTTCCTGTTCTGTTGTGGCCAAAGACTGCTTGCTCTCAGCCCGGGAGCGGAACCACATGTGGAAATTTGCCAATGACCTATTGTGTCAAAAACAGTCAAGGACAGAAAAAAAAAACCCAAATGGGTAAAATGAAGAATCTGATATTGATGCTCACAGAAAATTCATATGTTTTGAGAAGATGCTCACAGTTAAGACAAGGTTCAGCACTGACTGATCTGACCTTTGACAAAATGAGGCAAAAACACATCATTAAATCTGTTTTGATTTCACACCAAGGCAAGAAAACAACTGCACAGAAAAATCCCTCCTTATTAAACAGCAAATATCAGCAGGCTAAATATAAATGAAATATAAAATAATTTATCTGTAAGATCATGTATGAAAGAAACCTAAATTGTCAGGTTGGAGTTAAAAAAACATTAAAAATTGTAATCAACCTAAAAAAAACATCTGCAGTTTTTATACAGTATTTCTCATTCGAGAAGATGTGAGGTCAAAAGCAGGTGCACGTGAACTCAGAAGACCCAGTTTATGCCACCATCCCAGGAGCCTCCCTCCTCATCTCCAGTTTATTGGTGCGGCAGTCAAAGGGCTTAAGTCTTCATTAATCCTTTAGTCTCAGATCAGCCAATCCTTTCTCATCCTGGCAGGTTTACAAAAGAAGCCTCATATCTTCTCCCTCGCTGCCCTCCCTGACTCAGTGGAATCTCTAATCCTGGCTGGTATAAGAGGACTTTTAGCAATTTATTAGTTGTCTGCTCAACTGCGTCAACTCAATTAAATTCAGCACCTATTTGAAGCCAAACCTTGTGAGGCAGTTTCATCATGAGCATAAATAAGTTTATTTACTCATCTGCCTATTCCACGTTTTAAAACAAACGTGCACATTTTGTGACTTATTTCTTTCGAACACCCTACAAATGTGGAAATTTATTGGGTACACAGCTGTCCTCGTACACAGTCATGCATAATGTTGGATTGTTTGAGCAAAAACCCTGAAAACAGAAGCAAAAAGACATTACAAAAAGAGATTATTATACTAAAATATACCATCTAAAATGATCAACTTTAAATAAGAATTGCTAAAGTTTTGGCATTAAATAAACTGAACATGGGTTCATAACCTAACATAAGTTTCACTTGGTAATTTGTCCACAGTTGATGATTAAGATGGATTTGTAGTGTTTAGTGTTGTGGTTTCTAAATGTCCTCTCAGTGACCAGTTTGCATTTGTTGGTCTTGTTCATTGAAACACTTCACTTTTAACTTGACTATTTACCATTTTTCAGAAGTTTTGTTTGACACGACCGCAGCATAATGTTCCAGTCGAGCCGTTTGAGGCAAAGCAGTGATCCACGCAACACCGCCGATTATAAGTGAAGCTCTGGAGGCAAAGAGAGGAGAAAAGACAGGTGTTCCACAAATAAACACTTTAAATGATGAATGTTGCCAGTAACTACAAGCTTAACTAATGCACTTCACTAATAGGATTGTAATGGACCAAAAAAAAAAAAAAAAAGCTCTTGACTTCATCAGATTACGAACCAACACATTCTTGCAGACACAGTTACCAAAACGATAAACTGTGTCATGGCGGGAGG